ACTTCAGCAGGGTCCAGTAGAATTAAAATCAAGTAGAGATTAAATAAAAAGCATTCCAGATTTAGGGCAAGAACATAATTAATAACCTGGATTTAGACTCAAGCATGACTTATCTGCAGGAACTGTAAAATAGAGACAGAGATGGAGTAAAGAAAAAAAACACTGGAATTAAGAATGGAAGTCAGACATGTCCTGAATCTCAGTAGTGATTATGACTGAACCCAAGTTTCATAACCTATATATCCTTCTTTATCTGTAAACTGGAAATAGTAATATCCACCATTGGGTGGCTGTGGAGATTAAGTGATGTGATTCAATAAATGTGTTTATTATAGGAGGAAAAGCTGGGTAAAGAAACAGACCTAACAGAAGAAAAATCCAGGCAGAAGGCACAGTATGTGCAGAGGCAAAGAGAGGGTAAAAGGCGTCTTAGAGAGCTGTGAATAGTTTGGTTTGGCTCAAAGATAAATGGAGGTTTGAAGCAACAGTGGAAGGCAGGAGTGGGATTTTAATGAGAATGTCAATTTTATCCTGAAGGTGACTTAGGGACCATTTAAAGGTTTACACAGCAAACTGTCAAGATCAGAAAGCTATTTCAAGATCATTCAGGTAGCAGTGAAAGGCTAGATTGGACATGAGTTACTAGGGCCAGAAAGTCCATTAATGGCTCGTACGGTACTCCAAGGAAAAGAAGAAAACATGAAGTGAATCAGCAGCAAGACACACGCAGATAAAGGACTGTAGATAAGGGGATAGATTAGAGAGCCAACTATAAGGAGATTCCTTCAAAAATCAACAATGTAGTGAATGGTGGGTTGGGAAGCTGAAGAAGAGAGGGGTTTCTGGCTTAACTCACTCACTATATCAAGGAATACAGGAGAAATCCCCGGCTAGTACAGGACGATTCCTATTTACCTTATCAAGCTCGCCAAGTCCAAGGACGGTCCAAGAGATCCAATGAACTGGACTCAGAACGAGACGTCAGGGCACAAGAGGGAGAAATCAGTGTGAAGATGGCCGAAGTGACCGAGGCACTTAAGATCGCAGAGGGAGTGGTGGGAAAAAGCCCAGAACATGATTTCAAAGAATTCCCGACATGTCGTATGGTCCGCACGACCAAGGGGTATATAAAGGAGACTAGGGAGCAGGGAGGCAGGAGGCCGACCAGGAGGTCACCAGCCTTCCGCTAAGAGTGAAGAGGGGAGGAAGATGCCACACTATCAAATGGGGCAGAAAGTTCAGGATACAGGTGAGTTCATTGGATGTGACAAAAAGGAGTGGGAATTGTTCACTGAGTGGCATTTCTCTAGACCTCTACACCGTGTGCTAAATACCTGTCATCTATCACTTCCTTTATTCCTCAAAACACAATCTGTCAAGCGAATATTAAACTGCCCATCTTCCTGACAAGGAAATGGGAAGTAAATGGTTCCGTAGACTAAGTAATCGGAGATACAGTTCATGTGTGTAAGAGCAGACGTGAGACCCACCCTCTTGATGACGGTGGGCACAGTGCAGCCATGAGGGGAGAGCCCAGCTGAAGCTGACGGGACAGTGAAATATAAACCACTGTTTAACAAGCTTTGTTGTGAAAAGGGAAGAGCACACACCCCAGGAATGATTTTACATCACTGATTCAGCTGCATTTGACAGGTATTCGTAATACTCTTTTTTCTGCATTTTTGGTCCTTGGAACAAAGTAGCGTATTAGTCTTAAGAATGAAAGTGATGTAGGGTGAATTCAATCTTCTTCAGCATCACCCTGGATAGAAAAGCTCGTGACACAAATAAGCTCCCATTAATACCACTTAAAACACATAACAAGTTTAACTTTTAAGATTTTTTAAATGTTGTTAAATCACCAAAAGGGGCTTCAAGTCATTTCTGGTTTCAAATAGTGGACTGGTCCCAAAAGTTTCTCTCTTCCCCCTCCCAAATAAAGTGAAAAAGGAACTCAAAGGCCTTACGCTGAGGAAAGAAGCCAGCTTTGAAAAGTTACATATGGTATACGACACCATTTATGACCTCTCCAGGGCAAAACCAGGGGGTGGGAGCGCGACCGATGGTTGCCAGGGGTGACGGGTGGGGGAAGGCGCCTATAGAGGGGCAGCGTAAGGGGGTTTTGGAGGTTGACGGTACCTGCTCTGTATCCATGATGGTTATACAAATCTATAAAGTGTTAAAATTTACAGAACCGTATGCTATAAGAAAACTCAAGTCAACTGTATGATAATCTAAAAAAAATTTTTTTTAAAGATAATGAGCCCAAAATGATGGAGCACTGAGAGGGGACAAAACAAGAAACACAATTTCTGGAAAACAGCAAATGGGATACGACTGAGCTGGACAGAGGAACTGCAATCCAGAGGGACTCCAAGTTGGGGTGCCAGTAAGAACAAGCTGACTGGTCCCACAGCCCGAACTCAGACGTGGAGGTAAGAGTTACAGCAAAGAGTAGAGTCAAGGAACAGGTCTGAAAATGACTGATTGAAAATTATATACAACAGAATAGCCAGGTCCCAAGGCCTCTGCCCAGCCCCTTTTGGCCAAATACGACCTCACATCACATCACTGTTTCCCACAAGTAAGGACAAGATAATTTTTCTCTGGAGAAAGTGAAGGAGAAAACTAAGTGGAGGGATGTGTAGAGGGGCAGGCGTAGGGACGTACGTTCTGCAGAACACAGGCTGCTTCTCTAGAGAAGTGGAACAGCCCAGCCAGAGTAAAAGCCACCAACCACTCCCGAGGGCGCCTCAGCCTGGATCCCCTACAGCTGCTGCCCTGCTGCCTATTTATCACTTGTCTCACCTTTTTATATCATGAACAGGAACAAGAACTTCGCAGAGTGGCATGTCTGAGTAGCACCATGCTAGTGAAGCCTGCCACCTGCCGAACCCTGCCCACAAAGCTCTCAGCCAGTCTTCCACGGTCCGCTCCTACAGGACAGACTGTCAAGACCAGTCAGAAATAGAAGGGAAGTCACCCACGCGAACAAGACAAGGAAACTAAAATTCAGAATGGTCACAGTAATTGGTGTGAACAGAGTAGGAAAGAAAAGCAATTAATATGTGTGCATCTGTAACCTATTATATTCAGAAAAATAACATTTTACCTTGAACTAAGGTTAGTATATTTTGAAAGTAAGAGAAATAAAGGATGTCTTAGAAATTAAAATATTTTAAAATATATGAAAAATTCAATAGAAAGAAATAATGCTGGAAGATCAAAATGAAGAAATCATCTAGAAAAAACAGAGACAACAGTGTCCAAACAAATAGTGTCCAAGGAAAAGAGAAGAAAATTAAGCATCAGTCTTAGAGGTCAATTACCTGACTAGGATAGCATCATAGTTCTCAAAAGCAGAAGAGAATGGAGCAATGCCTTCAAAATACTGGGAGAGAATTATTATTTTTTATTAAAGTATTACTGATATACAATCTTACAAACGTTTCACATGAACATTTTAGTTTCAACGTTCACCCATATTATCAAGTCCTCCCCCCAACCTACTGCAGCCACTGCCTATCAGCATAGTAAGATGCTGAAGTCATTACATGTCTTCTCCCGCTGGACTGCCTTCCCCGTGACCTACCTACACTGTGATCGTGAGTCATACTGCCCCTTAATCCCCTTCCCCCTCCCTCCCTCCTCCCCCTCCCCACCCCTCCCCTTTGATAACCGCTACTATCTTCTTGGAGTCTGTGAGTCTGCTGTTATTTTGTTCCTTCAGTTTTCCTTCATTGTTATGCTCCACAGATGAGTGAGGTCACTTGGTGCTTGTCTTTCTCCACCTGGCTTATTTCACCGAGCATAATCCCCTCTAGCTCCATCCATGTGGTTGCAAATGGTAGTAGGATTTCTTTTTATGGCTGAATAATATTCCATTGTGTATATGTACCACATCTTCCTTATCCATTCTTCTATTGATGGACACTTAGGTTGCTTCCGAATCTTGGAAGAAAATTAATTTTATCTTAAAATTATTTATGTAGTAAACCATCAGTGGAACATGAGAGTGGAGGCAGGACATTTTAGGCACGTAAGGACTCAGAAAATTTGCTTCTCATATAACCACACTTCTTAGAAAGCTTTAAGTCTTAGGAAGTGCACAAGTAAACAAGAAAGCAGGACACAGCGGGTCCCACAGGAGGGTGACAGGAGGAGGGGGTGGGATAAAGGCTGTGCAGCCAGCCAAGAGGACAGCCAGAAGACGGGCACAGAAGGTCACATGCAGAATAGACCTCTCTAGTGAAGAGACAATCAGATTGTCTGATATTTGGGGACAAAAGCCCTTCAACACTAACGATGAGAATATGGTGGACCTGACACAGGAATTGGAAAAATTTTAAGATAGGTTTCCATAATATGGAAGTGTTCAAAATGAGGCAGTTATTAATTTCAGGAAAAATAAAGTGATGTAAAATGTAATCAGGGTACACTGCTTTGCTCTATAGTTATAATTAAAGAATAGCAAAAGCATTTACTAAATATTATAATTCCATAATGGGAGAAAGGGAGGCACGTGTGTGAGAGAGCTAAATCACGTAACACTATCAAGAACACGGTAACAGCTAAAACTTCAATCAGGCAACAGAAGAATAGGCAGATTATCTGGATACACTAAGATAAATACCGAAAGAAGCAGCTTTTGGAGTCAAATTGATTGTCCATGGAAGGTAAAGAAAGTTGGGACAGGAACTATTATTTTTCATCATAAGGCCTTCAGGTCTTTTAACTGTGTACACATCATATTGATAAATCGTAAATTTACAACACAACTCTTTACAACTACATAAAAGCAGTAAGGCCACTACGATCTGATTTGATTTTAGATATATTTGTTTGAAATTTCAAATTACATTAGGGGAAATGTGATTTTTACGTTTACTGAATGGGGCGTGGACTAAAAAGAGGTTCTGATACACTTCACTAGGTTACCCAAACTCTACAGCACACGTGTGTGCATCAAAATTCTATAGCGCTTCCTTACCCCCTGCTCTCTCCCCTCAGAATGACCTTGCTCTCAAAGAACACTGCAGCCTGACCAGCAGAGGCCAAACAGCACCCCAGGGCGCCCTCTGCATGCGGACGGGGTACGCAGGCCCAGCAGTGCTCCCGAGTCCTGCCCCTCGGCTGCTCCCTCCTGCTAGCGTGACTTTCCCTGCACCTGTGCCCTGCCCACGTCATTACCTGCATTCTCCTTGCCGCTAGTCCATTTTCTACTTATTAGACATTTCCCTTGATCTGATACCAAATTTAGCCCATCTGCCCATAACCCAGGTGGCAATTCGACCACTTCCTGGTAAGAACAGACGTTTCTCACTAATACAGAAAACTTTTGCAGTTAATGCTGTCAAAATTATTAACATATACACATATACAATCATATTTAGGCATGGATATGTTAAAATGTGGACTTAGTGACCACGGGCTAACACTGAGTGCTGAACACAGGCAACAATGCTGGGGCGCGGTTGCCTAGGGAGACACCTGAACACAGCAGAATTCCTTTTGTTCATGTTTATTCACACAGAACATTACCGTTTAGTATAATCAAGGTTACAAAAAATATGTTACTAACCAATAAGCAAATGTTTACTCTCCTCTTGGTTCAATAATTCTCTATTAGGTAGTACAGTTATTTTTACCAATTTATTTTTAACTGCCTATGATTTCAATGAAATTTCTTAGCTTTTACTTATTTTTAAATAATTCCTTCAGTTGGAAAACTTCATATATATCAAAATCCTTCCTGCACTTTAATGCACTCTTCAATGCCTTCTACTTAACCTAGCTGTCTTAAAATGCAGTATGATTCTTTGAAGGTTGAATATGACTTAATGTTTGTAAAAGATGAGCATAAAGCCTGTAAAAAATGTTTCTGCACCCGCCGTGTTTCACAGAACCACATGAATGTTCCATATTCTTCATATTTAGCAAAAGAAATCCCTTAGGGCTCAAATGCTACGTGGAACACAGGGAGGAATTTAGGCCATCAATGTACTTGTAAAATAGATAAAATTCTAAATGCACTTTAAGATTCCATCTTCACTACAGACGGGAAAGCGCTGGAAGGCTGAGTCTTCTTCAGCAGCACCTGTGGCCCCCCAGTTGGAACAGAGATGCAGGCACCTTCCCCCACAAACTGCGCAAACTCAGTCCGGAAGGACCGGCAGACCCCCTTCTCCCCAGGCTGCATCCCCTTAATGAAACGCCATGTTCACAGTGGTCAGTTATCAGAGTAAATAACAATATTCTTAAGGGCCCACAAAACAAAGAGTATTTTTAGATGAAGAATATACCCTGTGCACTCAGAAGTTTCAGGTACAATTAAGTACTTCATGCGAGTAATATTCTACCAGTTACAAGTCACGATGAACTACACATTCTTAATTTTAACTGAATTTCATGTTATACAAAACTTAAGTATGGCACATTTCTACTATTAAACATTACATTATTTTTGTTTAAAAAAAATATTAATCAAAACTGATACACTACCCAGACCTCTTGATTTAAAATGTAACTTGAAGAAAACCATTACAAACTGAATAAACAGGCATTCTTTTATACAAACATTATGAGTTAAATTTTTAGTTAAAAAAAAAAGGCAATTTCAGGGCAATTAAGCCATCTCTGATTAAGACATACATTTTCATGCATGTGAAAAAAGAAGTTTACATTCAAGAATAAGTTCCATAGCAAACAAATTACAGCCTTTATTCAGTAAATTAAAATAATTCCAGTTAACAGAAAATAACTGCAACCATATATAATTGTCATGTACATACTCCAAAACCTCCAGAATTTATTTAAGAAACTTGAAAGAACTTCTTTTTAAAGTATATCTTCAGAAAACCAACCAAAACAACTGGTGCCTTAACTGAGGTGAACAGGCACTATGTACACAACCCCATCTGACCTATGCGCAAAAACAGAAGGAATACAGAGGAAATGAAGGTTACTGTTTTCCAAAATTTCTGCCATATTAGTACTTAAGTCAAAACACTTACCTGCAAGGAAAACCAGCTGAGGTATTTTCAATGCTGAAATAAATTTCTTGAATGTTAAATACCACAAGAATGAAAACAGCTCCTTTGAACATTTACATCTGGTTTACAGCTGAGGCAGAAGACGAAGGTCTGCCAATAAATTTTCTCATCTCAACTATATTCTTTCATCCCTTATGAAGTGCAAGCTTCAAGGGAAATGATCACATGTAAAAACTTATCAAGTGAGTCGGGGTTCCTGACTGCAACACCTTAACCAAAAAGAAATAGGAATTTTAAATTCTCCTCCCTGATCTCGTCAGACATGAGTAGTAATTCCTACGCTGGACAAGGTAAGCATGTCCTGAAAATCGAAGCCAAGCTTGACAAAGAACCGCGCTGGATACACTGAATACAGGAACCACCTCAAACAAGATGGCACTTGAAGCCTTTACACATGACACATGAAAACGATGAAGTGTTTTCTTTAGATTTGGTCTTTCTTCATCTTTTCATAACTCTGAATCCTGGAAGGTTAACAAGTCATTACACTCATACACCCTGTAATCCTTTCTCCACACAATAGGCTCACATGCACAGCATCACGTGTCAATATGGTATTATCAACACAGCATGAACACTGGGCAGGAGGCGGGCTTCACATGAGAGCCTCTGCATTGCTGGCCTGTCCCAACAACAGCAGACATCATTTCAGCAGTTACAGTGTCGATTATGATCAATAGAGCTAATCTGTTTTATACCCGTCATAAATTTTCATAAGTCATCCATAAGCAAGATGCAAAGGACAAAGAAAAAAAGTTATGTGCCAACTTCAAAAATAACATACTAACCAGACATCAGCACTCGAAAGCTAGGTTGAATAGGACTGGCCTGGATGCACATGCAGTAAATTTGTTTTCAGAATATGAAATTAAATGGTAATGTCAGCAGTATTACTACTGTTTCTATATTTGTGATTAATCACTAGCAGTACAACTCCCAGAAGGAAGGAGATGGATCCAATAGCGATGTAAGCAATCCCCAAAAATGGGTTTTTTCCTCCCATCCATGAAATAGTGCTCAAGATCATCCGTTTTCGTCCATCAAAAGAATGTACGGGATAATCTGAAGAATGTATAGGAAGACTTCCATGTCCAGTTACTTGATTTTTAAAACACAACTTTAAAATCTGGTACTTCATTGCTTTAATTCATTGGTGTAATTCTATACGCTGCCACCTTGCTCCTTGGCTCTGAATCACAAATTAATTACATGAGGATTGTCTGGAAGCACTGACTTAACAAACTAATGTTAGTAGTAAAAGCCAGCATAGGTCACAAGCACAAGCAGCCACATCTAAGGGCCAGATTGTTTCTCAGGCACTTTTGCTCTCGTTACACAGAAGGGGCAAAGCCACAAGAGGCAGCTCAGGTGAGCAGCAGGGGAGCCCACT